TACCCCATTTATTCAGAATGATTCTATAATACTGTAGCATGAAATTTTCACTACTGTATATTTTGTCTTATTCTATACTATTCTGTACTGCTGAGCACATCTGACAGGATATTTTGTCACAATAACATGGTTAACATTTTTCAATAACATAAATTGAACTCAATCTGCTTCATATTATTTAATCATTCTCAAACCTGATATGTGGATACACACCTGAGATCTCACACTGTAAATAGAATGAAAATACTATTTCAATAAATACGTTGATATCTCTTGCTATATCTGCTTTGTTGTGATCCAAGTAGAAGGATGAATCGGATGGTTTTCACAGGAACTTATCTGAAAGAGATATATAATATAAAGTTATATAAAATACCATTTCAGAGACATTGTCATACTCACTTTTCACACTGCTATTTCCACTCGAAACTTCATCACAGTAGGACGATAGGTATTGGATTTTTCAGGAATGCTGGGGCGGATGGATTCACTAGGAACTGAACATTGTGAATCAATTAACTTCGTTTGGCATTATTTTCTTGATTGATGCATTTGATAAATTCAGGTTGATGTTTTGATTTTGTTGATCTGTTATTTCGCTTTACGTCAATTAGCTGTCGGTCATGACACCATGTCAACAGTGTCAAACTTGTCATGCGCCAAACGCCGATTCGGATTGATTCTCAGACGAATAGAAGATCGATTCATCGCCGAGCCAACTCAGCCCAAGGAGAGTAGAGTTTATAATCCTTGAAATCAGCCGAGTATTCGTGAAGAAAGGTGTGACGTCATTTTAGTCATCAATTCTGATTGGTTCAGATAGACATCTGGCAAGAATCAAGTCTCTGGAGGGAGTAGCGATAACGTCTTTTATTTTGGATATTCAAATTTTCCGTCAATTTGAAAAGCGGAAACTGTTAATTTGTTCTCGAGTTTCTGGAAATTTCGAGGAGGAATTTCTCTTCCGGTCGTGAGACAAGAGCTCACTTCAGAAAATTCTTCGTGGTGGTCAAGTGCCATTTTTGTGGTGTGAACCGGCTTCTGAAGTCCTGTACCGCCTGGCGTTCTGGATCACATCAGGATATCGTGTATTTGTTTGCTGATCTATGAGAACTGCTGGACTCAACAGATTTTTTCTGGTTTTGGTTAAAGAGACAAAATCTTCATGGTTCATTACCCAGGCAGCCACGTGCCTACCTTCATCGTCATTTCAATCCCCAACCCTTCATAGAAGGTGAACCTCGCATTATCACGTTTCTTCTCTCTGCAGTCCAGAAATTCAGAACCTCATTGTCATGATATATTCTAGGGTTTCTACCGGGAGTTTTCACCAGGAGTTTTTACCGGGAGTTTTTACCGGGAGTTTTTACCGGGAGTTTTTACCGGGAGTTTTACCGAAAGTTTTACTGGGAGTTCTACAAACGGGAGTTATCCTACCAGGAGCACTATTCTTTCCAGGAGCATAATTGCTCGACCAAGATCTGTTAATTCTACAAGGCCTTTGATGGCTTTATAGTAGTCTGGAATCTGGAATCTGGATATCGTTTCCTACTTGTCTCCTGATGGATTTTCAAGGTGGAAACACGACAACTCTGTCAATGTCATCTGACATCCATGGATGTGAAGTCAGTACCCCGCTCTCCGCCAACCTCTTTCTCAACAGCTTCATCTGGTGGCACTGAAGCCATTTTTCTCAAGGATAACTGGTGTAGGACAAACCATACAGGTTCTTGACATGAAAATATATTTTTATTTTTCATTTTCATTCACTCCTAATGCCTATTGCTAGTGTGTATAGTGGACCATTTTTGAATCATAGCCAGGTCATGAATTTATGAAATCACACATGAAAGGTACATACTCCCCCTCCACATAGTATACTATGCGCTGGTAGAATTCTTCCATATTTAATATTTTCTTGAAATCTGCTATGACAATAAAACGTCCTTACAGGAGCTCTTGAATTTTCATTGATTTATATATATTTTCATCCACATAATAGCAGGCAACAATAGTGTATTTTCTTAAAAGGAAATAAATATCTAATATTTTTTCGATTCATACATATTTGTCAATACCTGTGATATATGAGTCCTATCATCATAATCGAATGTTTCGGATATTGTATATAACTGTTTTATTTGTTTATTGACATGACACTCCAACTTACAACATCTCTGAGGTAAATTCAGGTCTTTCAGTCTGGGAGAACAATAATATTATTCATTACCTGGTTGCTCAACTATCCAGGTAACATTTCATTCGAATCGAAAGTTGCAGTGGCGCCCCATCTTTTTTGTTTAACCTTATGATTGCTAGATAACTGAATTTTTGCTATTTCAACTCATTTTGATTACACGAACCCATAGTGCCTACTGACGAAGAGCTGCCGTTTGCAAATTGTCCTATATATTTTCCATAAAATAGGGCTGCAATACTATAGAAATATTCAAATAATATTCGGAATTTTCCAGGAATCTAACAGGAATATCAATAATTGAATATGCCTAGAATATTCCACTCAACATATTTATTACTGAAGAAAGCTGACCCAAGATGGGCTCAAGCTCGTGACTTTCAGATTGTCAGAGCAACGCCTCAACCACTAGGCCAGTAATCGAATTGAATGATATTGTACATATAACAGTTTGTTATAGAGCGTTGTTCAAAATTGGATCGAAAATATTGAATGTTCCAAAATCTTCATACATAATGAGAAACATTGGCCTATATGGGCTCGAAACATGTACGATGATCTGATTGAGTAATTTGATCCCTATTAAAATTGTTGTGATGGCTTTGTGTTCCTGATAACTGGTAACGAAATACTCCACTACGAGATACGATAGATTCCTGCCACATTTTTATATTGATGAATGTGAATCTACAAAATTGGTGTTTATACTGAACTATGTTTCATTGAAGACACATGACTATAATAATCATGGAATATTCCATAAATATACAAATCAGAATATTCAGTTGAGAATATCCCTGAAATACTCATACCTGGATATTTCCTGAGATATTCTTGGAATGTTCATCCTCGAAAATTCCTTCGGGAATATTCCGTGTAAATTTTTTTGAAATATAACTAGGATATTTAAATTTGAATATTCTTCGAATATTCCAGAGGAACATATATATTCAAGGAATATTCGGTGGATATTAGGAAGATACTATTCTCTTTTCGCATATTTGAATGATATTCTCGGAATATCCAGTGCTGTCTGGGTTGAAGGTACTATATATTTTCTTCAATCTCCACTGATGATGTGGATCTCATAAGATTTGAAAAATAATAAAATGATCTAGTGAGGGACTTACATTATTCTGTTATGTTGATTGCTGGGTTTCTTTCTGAAAAAAATTATTTCAGCTTCTTGTTGAGGACTCATTGCCTTTTGGTATATGTTGTTTTTGATTTCTGAACCCTGGACATACTTTCTGATGATAATCTACTGAGAGTTGAAGCCTCCATACAATATTTTCGAAGATCTTGAAGAAGCCAAAATATCTTGAAATGAAAAAATCTCTGCTCTGATGATATTATTTTTGTATTTTCCATAACCTTCTGAATCAAATAATGTATCAATATCTCATTTCGAGTCATGTCGATGATTTGATTCACCTACCCTTCTTTCTCTTTTCTGAGGGATGAAGCATTATCAATGTAATCATTATATGATCCTTGATATATGTTATAATTTTGTTGCAAATAAAGTCTTCTTGTTATCATATCTGATTTTCTAACCTGTACGTATTCTATGATGCTGATTCTATTGGAAGTTGATGCAATTTTCACATATTTTGCAAAATCTGAAACTTTGAATGAAACGATAACCTCATGAAACGAATGATGTATTGATATTTCATGTCCAGTAGTATCAAAGATTTGATTCACTCACATATTGTTTTGTTCTTTTTTTTTTTGTTGCAAATTCTTCTTGCTATCGTTTGTGATTTATGAACCCTTGATATACTTCTTGATGCTGAATCTACTGAAAGTTCGAGCCTGCAAACAATCTCTCATGGATTCCTAACAAGCCAAAATATCTTGAAATGAAACATCTATGCTATGAGAATCGATATACACGAAATTTCGTATTCACGACGCGATTGGCCCGACGAAATCGATTTCAAAAAAAGAGTTTTTTTTTGTGGTGTTTACTCATCCACAAGAAAATGATTATCGAAAGCACATACTTCGGGTTGAGGACATCATGCCAGGAGAATTTGCATGGTTCAATTATCTATATTACATCATCCGAGACTCAACCATCATCATTGGAGTCGAATTAAATTACGATATTCCTTCGAGAATGCCCTGAATATGAATTATTTTGTCAAATCTGATGATCAAGAATAATTCAGAACAATATTCGTCTGGGTGACTTTTGAATGACTAGGGCACAAATTACAATTCAAAGCTAACTTCAGCCTCATGACGATCACCAGAAACAAAAATAGTTATTTAAATTCGAAATATGACTCTTTTGGTTACCGAACATTCGATACTGACCTCAGTTTGAGAATTTTGATATTGAACATATACTCTGTTGAGATAATGAGGTTGACATAAAAAACAAATCGCAATAGAGTGTTTCAAATCCAACAGTGAATAGCATATGTTGTAGGTATTTTCTCCATTGGTATTTCATATCTCATCGCTCATCACTTCATATCTGCATGTATGATTTCTATAAAACCGAATGTACCCAGACGATCAGCAAAGTAAAGGTCAACTAATATCAAGTCAAACGTTCAGAAAGAGCTTCTCAGCCCAATGAAGTTCACTTATCTCATATCTGGAATAGGTACGGTTGAGAACGTCGAGTCGTACATGTTAAACTCTTTCATAATACTATATTATTCAAGGTGGTTCTCAAAAGGGTTGCTCTCATGAATAAATATTGTAATTCTGTTCAAAGGCAGAAATCAATTGATCATCATCGTCATTATGGGGTCTAGTTTTCATTAACAACCTTGTTTTGTTCTAGCCTCCAGTGCCGGCAAACCCATGGCAAGGAATTCTCAACGCAACTGCCGATCATGTATCATGTCCACAGCAAGACGTCTTCTCAAGGTCATATGTCTACGAGGGAGAGGAAGACTGTTTATATTTGAATGTTTACAGTCCCAAGGTATGTAGGTAACTGTTTCAATGACAGATCCTGGATCGATGTTCTCCTAGGAATAATCGGTTGACAAAGAATATGCTTAGTTTTTGAGTTCCGTACCTCGAAGAAAACACAGAGAAGGAAGATCACTCGTGTCTCCGTTCTTCTCATCGTTTGGAGCATACAAATCTCAATGCCCACCTTCCGCAGCTTCTCATCATTCTCATTGTCAATGGATTCTCATCATTCTTGATTCGATACTAACATACATCTCATAGATTTTCTCCATTTCCAGTTTCCAATGATTTCACCATGACCATTACCAAAATATTCTTCACATACCCACTATCCACGAATTCTCACGAATTCTCACAATTTCTACCAGGTCCATTATCCTTTGAAAATCTTCCTTTCTCACTTCCACAGATTCTCACAAGGCCTATATTTCTCGAACTCTCAACATGTCATTCGATAGATTTTCACCATAGCCACCTTATAGTGTCCATCCTGGTGTCGCGTCAATTTGACGTGGAAAATTGGACGCACGACTATTGGTCGCAGTCAATTGGACGCGGCGACAATTGGACGCGGCGACAATTGGACGCGGCGACAATTAGACGCGGCGTCAATTAGACGCGGCGACAATTCGACGCAGCGACAATTCGACGCGGCGACAATTCGACGCGGCGACAATTGGACGCATGCGTAAATAAAAATAATTTTATAATTCCAATGAAATTCATTGTATAAAATATGAAATACTGATGGGCTTATATCCATAATTATAACAAATACCTATGGCCTCGTTTGACAATTATTTTTCTATCTCATATCGTAATATGAATTTACGATACGAATATAGTACAATATTTTAGGTTAGTTAGGTTAGGTTAGGTATTTGTTATATTATAGATATGAGCCCTGCATATTCCATGCAATAAATTCCATTGGAATTATAAAATTATTTTTATTTTCGCATGCGCTCAATTGTCGCCGCGTCCAATTGTCGCCGCGTCCAATTATCCGCGTTCAATTTTCGTGCGTCCAATTGACCACGACCAATTATCGGTAATCCGTCCATCCTTCCACAGTTTCCCATCATTCCCATTGTCAATGGATTCTCATTATTCTTGATTCAAAATTATCGCACTTCCACTATAATTCCATCTCAATTAATTTCATCACAACACTTCACCAGAACTTGTTAGTCTATGGAATGAAAAAGCATTCAAATACTTTGCCAATAGAAATATTCCCAAGAACTCATAACCTCTAAAAGTTCGAGGAAAAATTTCAATATCTACCTCTCCTTCCCATCCTTCCTGGTACCCACGATGTTTCTCAAACATTTCAGGAATTCCTCTTCGTGCGCTCCAAGAGATGAAAGAAAAATCAATCATCTCACTTTCATGGTTCTCCACCATATCTATCAATTTGAAATTTCATAATGAATGTACTCCAATGCTATAATTTGGAGTGATGTGTTCGGTAACTCATCATTAAAATATACTATCGACACATTGCACGAAGTTTCAAGGTGATGCATGTATGGATTATTCCTGAAAATTGTTACTAAGAACCTCAAGTTCCTAATTGATTTCTTGAATCCGAACATTAACTAATATCGATATACCTTCTTTTGTCGTTTAGGAGGCTTCGGGTGATGCAAAAATCATTTATTCATTTTCCATATATTTCAGAAGCGTACATGAACCAGTCGAATTAATTAAATTTCTGTTCTAAAAATATTGATATCTATAGATATCAATGGGGAATGTGGTTTCGACAATATTTCAGCTTATCTGGTCGAACAATGTTCTCACAGTCTCTGCACTCCTCTTGCAATTATATACAATCAATCTGTTTCTGAAGGTTGATTCCTACAACTCTGAAAAACTGCTCTTCTTGTGTCAATACACAAGAATTCTGGAGATGAAGGAAATATCCCTAATTATAGGTGTATCAGATGACTTTGTATTCTTAGGAGAGCTCTCGAGAGCATCTCATAATATATGATGAAATTTTCGATAGTCTCTAACATATGATTCTGAAGAAACAACATGGATTCTTTGCGTAAAGATCTATTGGCACCAATCTCATGATATAAATTCAGATCATATCTGACTCATTGGATAATCTTAGTCAGACTGACTCTATATATACAGATTGATCATGATATTGTATTTATGAAGCTTGCTGGAATTAATATGCATGGTGATATAGTGAGATGATTTTCATACTGTACATTCAATACATCTCATATTATCATGAAAATATATGAATGAATTTGATTCTGAGCCAATGGGAGTACCCAATTTTTATTTTCGAGGAAATGTTTCAGTATCAGTTTGGCTAGAAATCAGAACCCTTCAATGTTCAGAAAACAATTGGAACGATTCATACTTGGGAAGATAATCTTATATCAAAGACCTAGGAGTTGATTCTCATTCCAAGTTGACTTTTGTAATGCATATCGATTATATTACTTACAAATGCGATAGAATGTTTAATTGAAGGAGATTGCAAATGTTTTCGCTCTCGAAATTCGATGCCGATTATGTTTCTTGGGTGTCATTTGGATTCCCTGTTGATTTAATCCGAAAGAACGATTGGAGAGAATTAATGAAAGAACTTGAGGTTTCTGAATTTCAGAGAGAACAATTTACTCACTGTTGAGAGTATTCACCAAACTAGACGTAGCTTCGGACTCGAGGAATTACTATAACGTTTTCGTGTTCTTTTAATTCTTATTTCTGCATGAAACATCTAGACCCACGAGACTGAAAATATTTTCGAACGCCAATTTTTGTCCCATCAACCTGGGACTGAACTTGCCAATAAGTAGATTAAGTAACAACTTTGATAAATATCCCGACTGAATCCGAATCATTTGAAAATGAGAATTGTTATGTGATAAATTGAACCAGAGAAAATTTCCTTCAGTTTATGTAGTATTTTTTTCGTGTAGAATTGATAGTTTCAGCGTACTAGCGCCGCGAAGTCTAATACAACACGCGTATCAGCGAAAAAACTCATTTCCACACCATCATGAGGTAGAGTAAGTTTCGCGTTTATTTTTGTGGTATCCCCAGTAGCCCTTATTTACATGTATTACACTAATGATGACATTTAGTGCATTCTCCTTCGCTTCGTCATCCCTGATGGACCAGGTTTTGCGAGTTCATCGTCTTCAGACCCGAGCAAAACGCCACAGACAGAAATATCATTCACGTTTTCAGTAAAATCAGCTTCGAAGTTATCAACTTCTTCCTCGATCTCGTCATAGGTTCGCTCGAGAACAGTCTCAGTTTCTTCCTCTTCATCACTATCTTGTAGAGAAAATAACAAATTCTCACATGTACCATTACAATTCGTGCAAATGACGGAGCACTTCAATCCAGCCTTCCTGCACTCACCTCACCCAAAGGCTCCTCGACATCCCATTTTGCATTTGCAAGAAATAAGTTCCAACAAGGTTCCTGGAGCTGGCAATTCGAGTGTGGTAACAGGAATTAGCCCATTCTCTGTTTTTTTTTCCAATCTCGATCGCTCTACATTTTGATTCAATCCATGACACTGCTGCACTTGGTGATTGGTTCGGAACAAATGTTGTCGTGCTGCTGCTTCTGTCGGTGGCAGTGATGCAATATCGACATTTTTCTTATATGCTGATTCTATGAAGCATCTGTATCTATTAGTTGTGCAACGACATACTTTTTGCCCCACTGTGACCGTACAATGCAAGGAGGCAGCGTTCTTCAGCTCCAGCAATGATATCTGGGTCGACATTCTGGTTTTCAAATACCTGGACAACCTCGATTAAATCTGGGATTATTCGGAGTTCATTTATACATTTTATTTTCCCGTGACTGAAGAGTGCCGATGTTGTATCACAGCCACTGAAGGCATGTGAGAATGAAATATCATCTGCAACTGTTTTATCTTTCATTCTTCTTGTTGAATATATTTGTTGCACAATTTTGTCTCTTCCGGGTTTGAGAATGAATATGTTCGAACGCGTAGATAGAGTCGTCAAAATAATGAGCAAATCTTCACCTTCGCCGACAACTATTCCGGAATCAGATGTACATAAAACGCTGATTGTCGTATTGATGATTAGCGTATCTGCATCTTCCGTGGCTTGCTTGACCATGAAGTTCACAGCTTCAAATTTTCACTTCACGTCCCTTCATACCTGTGACAGACCATAGTAGGCCGGTTTATACACACGCGTGTGTATGGAGCACCAGCTATACGCGTATTCCCTATAGCATGCTCTCAATATACGAAATACGTGTGTTCGTGTACATGTGTGTTGGTTGGCGGCATTCGTACGCTGGAACTATCAATTTCACAAAGAAAAGGTGACAGAAGAAATTGTAGGAAATTTTCTCTAGTTCAATCCATCACATAACTATTCCCATCATAAAATGAATAGGAGAGGAGATATCGTCGAAAAACTGTTTTTGGGCGCCATTTTTTCAATATGGCGGCGCGAGCGGCAAAGATACGAGGTGGCAAAGTGAAAACTCGAGAAGAGCACGTCGGAATCTACAATAATAAAACAATTCTCAAAACTCTCGGAAAACTTTCCAGGTAACCCCCTTTTTATGCACCGAATGACTGAACTATAAATGACATAATGAATGTTCCGCAGCTATCTGATTTCGAGAAGGACCCTCTACCGGTAATGGTATTCATCCACGGGGGCGGCTACATGAGCGGATGTGGCAACTCTCACTGGTACGGCCCTGACTTGCTACTTGACAAAGATGTAGTTCTCGTCGTTCTCAATTACAGATTAGGTAAGAATCCATGAGAAATATTGAACGGATCATCAATATTAATATTCAGTTACTCTATGTTCAAAATGGGTGTCCGGAAATTATCTGCAGAAAATCAACAGTGTGATTCTACATGATGGAATAAGATAATCTTTTGTATGTACGTGGGTCCGAAAATACATAGTTTTCAACATACAGTGTGTCGATCTTGAAGAAAATAGTTTTTTTATGAAAATCTTAAATGTCCTTTTACCGGTTTATTCGAATTTGGCAATGCTATTCCTCGTTATAAGGGGCTTATCAAACTATAATGTCCGGAAATTATCTGCAAAAAATCAACAGTGTCATTCTACATGATGAAATATGATAATCTTTTGTATGTACGTGGGTCCGAAAATACATAGTTTTCAACATACAGTGTGTCGAACTTGATGAAAATAGTTTTTTTATGAAAATCTTGAATGTCCTTTTACCGGTTTATTGGAATTTGGCAATGCTATTCCTCGTTATAAGTGGCTTATCAAACTATAATCGAATTTCGAAATATCAAATTCAGAGACATCCCTAGGGGCAACCTTCCGAATATTGATTCCAATGAAATGTACGCCACTGATTTATTTGAATCATTTCCCTCTATAAACTATCAACCGATTAAACGAACGATATTTTGGTCTGTTGAATTGTATTGATATTCTGATCCATTTCCATAGAAAGAAATGAATAACAATTCATTCCACATACTTGTGCCGAAAATTTCAGAACTGGGGTGGAAATGAACGCGTTATTCATGTCCATAGACATAGAATGAGAATCGAGATTCAATTTCTTCATATATTCGATGATACATGATTGACACACTCTACACTGTAAAGTGAGTAATATGTATTCTCGGTCCAGGAATGCGGAGCTTTCAGAAATACAAAGTGTGTCAAACATGTATGGGACGACACTGGAACTCACAATTTCAATTCAATTTTTGTTCAACCAGCCCTTTATGATGAAGAATATCATTGCCAAATTCCATGAAAATTGGTGGGAGGATATTTGAGATATACATAAAAAACGATTAGTTTCCGAAAGTTGAACACATTGTATCTTGCAAACTATGCATTTCCAGACCCACGTATAGATATGGAATGAATCCAATTTCACTTCATGCAGAATCATTTCGTTGATTTGTTGCGCATGATCTCCAGACACGCTGTATAGGTGATACTCTAACTAAAAATAGTGAGAAGAGTATAAGATGTATGATTCGTTTTCGAGGTACAACTCGCTTTTCCCTTTAATTAATTAGGGTTTAAAAATTTTTCAAAGAATTTTTTTACAGTTTTCAAATATGTATAACATGAATATGGTAGGATGTCAATCCACAATATGAACTAACAGATCCAAGAAACGTGAAATAAAGGAAACCTATCTCTTGAGTCAATCGAGGAGGTGAAATATTCATTTCACGAAACGTCCAAAGCTTAGTAAGAATTTGATACATTTTCGATATATCTAGAAGAGGAACGATTCATGAAACGTATGATAGAAGACAAGACGAGATGAAAGAATCCATTATTTCTAAATCGAAATAAAACAGAGGGTATAATTATGACACTGGTCCATTCACAAAAGAAGGAATATTTTTGTTTCATTCTGTTTCACCTCAATACACGGTGTCCCAGAATGATATTCATATACTCCGGGAGGCGATTCTACAGATTGAAATAATTGAAAATACTCCCACTAACATTTATCCGAGAGTACCTACTTTCCAAGACCGCTCCAGCTATTCGAATGTAGACCATCAAACGGAGTTCAAATCTAGTATTTTCGTTTCCATATATCATATCAATCTCATCGTACCATGGACATTTAGTCGAATCACCCTAGTAGTGATACAAAGCCGATTGATCGTCAGAGCCTCAATAAAATGCCGCTAGTTAGCGTTGGCGCTGGTGTCGCTGGTGGCGCGAAGTTCAAATTTGCAGATGGCGGCGGCGCTGATGGCGGTAAATTTGAAATTGTGAGGTTATGACATCTTAATCATGATGAATTTTTAAATAAATAAATTAAAAAAAGCTGTCACCGCCGGTGGGGGAAATTGAACCAGGGACCTTTGCATTATGAGGCAGCGTATATACGCACTGCGGTATTCCGACCTCCGTGATATTTCAATTATTTAAATGCTATTCAAACGGGATATCCATTGCTGGCGCGCGCGCGCGCTTATCTTTGCAACGGATCTATCGAGGTAGTGTGAAGCGAGAGATGCATTCCAGAGATAAGAAACTTCGAGTCGAAAATAATATCCATCGCTGGCGCGCGCGCTTATCTTTGCAACGGATCTATCGAGGTAGTGTGAAGCGAGAGATGCATTCCAGAGATAAGAAACTTCGAGTTGAAAATAAATGAATGCGCGCATCGGTGGTCGTCTCCTCGCTGCTGTTTCGTCACACCAATGCTACAGATCCGTTTCAAAGATAAGAGAGAAGGCCCGAGCGCTCGGCGCTGCAACGTTGTCGGACGTATGTGTTTGGATGTTAATATTGTTACATTATTGTGTGTGGCAACGCTGTCTCGCTTCATGGCGTTCGAAGATCTAGCAAAGCGAGAGATCCCTCAGAATGATAAGCGCGCGCTCGTATTGGAAACGAATACTTGGATTATTTATTTATTTTAAAGTGGGTGACGTCATGCCGTTACCTTCATAGCGTTCGAAGTTCCAGTAAAGCGAGAGATCCCTTAGAATGATAAGCGCGCGCTCGTATACCCATTCCTCAAACTGCGACTTCAATGACAAAAACAAGATTGAATTTTCATATACAGGGCGTTTGAGTTGATTGATAATTGAAAAAAAATATATATACAGGGCGGCCCATGGGGGTGAAAGAATACGAAAACGAAGATAAATAATCTATTTATTTAAGTAATCCTTTTCTACAAAAATGACATGCCTCTTGAGAAGATGGCGGTCCATCCCAGTGTGTGGTCCAATCGGGACGATTATAATGAACGAAGCATGGCAGTTTGATTTGTAGGTTAAAGTTGCTGCGATATTCTTGAGGAAGTTTGTGCCACACCCTTAATAGCCCATAAGGATCTGCATATTCAATGAGACATTCTACTGGAATGTACTGCAATTCTTGTTCAGTGAATTTCGTCAAAGTCAAAGCGGGAGATTTTATAAACTCCAATAGCACAGCTATTTCAGACTTCATGATTTTTCGAGCAGAGCTAAAATATTTCAGATGCTACTAGTCTCGCGTCAAGTTGTAGACTGATGAAATGAAAAAAAACTAGTCACATTTTTCACAACATTTTATTCAAATCAGACATAACCTCATTTTTACAATAATATAGATATTCTCTGAGAGCGTTACTAGACATGCTATCACAAACATCACAAAATCCAGATATAAGCTCTTCCGCACCCAAATCAGTCAGGCTATTTCTAATCCAATCGGCTATAGTATTCAAAATGTTTTGATAATACATGGAAAAGTCCAATTTGTTTATTAGCGCAACTCGATGTGAAACAACACACGTTTCAGCACTCAAAATGTCTGCAACATCCTCTTCCACCAATTCGAATGTAATGTGGTATTTGGTGAGTGACAACATTTTGACACCATCGCAAACGAATTTGGTTATGGTGATATAGTCTCCGCAGGTGGTAACGGCAGGATCATATTCATCAATGAAACAGGGCAGGGGTGCTTCAAAAAAGTCTTGTTGTACCTTATACAGCGAATCGATGAAGGTGGCCCATTCATATGTGGAGAACGAAATTTTCGCTGGATGGAAGGGTTTCTTCAGGATGATGCTCGGACTAAACTGTCTAGCTGGACTAAGTCCGCACTGAATCATGTAGGTGGACAACTGGAACGATGAAGTCAGCAGGAGGTACGATTCGGCTTTCGCTGCTTGCTCAATCATGTCCAAATATGTATCAACGTCACCATAATAACCCATCATTGCCAATGAACTAGTACTACCGTTTTCGGAAAGCACTTCACTAGATGAATAACCAGAGTCTTCACTCATTGTTCTCGAACTGATGTGTTGAAAGTTTCAGTCCTCATTATTTATACCACCACTGCCAACACGTCACAACATCCGATAATGGTTGTTATTTGTCAGCGATCGACGTGAAAGGCCCCTCACATCCATTGAATTTGTGCTAGTTTTCCATATGATTACATTATAACTTGTTGGTGGAATCAATCCAGCTGTTGTGTGTATCATCGAATCCTAGCCATTTGACAAAAACCTTTTTACCCCTCTTCCTTAAAACTTTTTCCACTAGATAGATGTCAGGATTTATAGTTTTTTGCAATTCTTCAGGATAAAAAGCACCTTTGATCGGAGTACCATGCAAATCTTCCAAGATGTATGTAGTAGGTTTCGTAATACGAACTTTTACGATTTTAAATAGTTCAGTAGTCCAATTTGGCGTATAATTCTTTTCGAAAACATGTTTGGCTTTGCTTATTCTCACAATGTCACCAACGTCGAATTTTCTGGTTCCAGCAATTTTGATGTGATTGTACGTGGATTTTAAAATATCTTGTTCGTTGGCTTTGGTGACGTCACTGGGCTTGCATCTTATTGTCGTATGTTTCGTGTTATTATAATTTTTCGTGATTCCAGGCAGGACATCTATCCAACGGTATGAGCCATTCAAACTAAAGTACTTGTATAGTTTTTCCTTCAATGTTCGTATAACACGTTCAGCAATGGCTGCCTTCATTATGGTGTACGTATGATAATGGTTGATGGAGAACTTTTTCATCAGACTTTGAAACTTTTCGTTGTAGAATTCGGTACCTTGATCGGTTTGCAAATTCTTGGGAATTCTGTTGTTGGCATGCGATAGAATATCAGCAAATGCACGAGCGATTTCAGCACCAGTTTTTGATTTTAGTGGTCTAGTCCATAGGTACTTGGAAAAACAATCAATCACGACCATTATCAGCTTGTGATCCTTATTTACAGAGGCATAAGGTCGCATTTCGGCTAGATCCATTTGC